GACTATCACTAGATTTTTCTTCCCAAATATGTTCTCTGACCAGTGCAATAGCCGAATGTTGTGCAAGATGCAGATCTTATTGAATCCATAGAACAATTGGATAAAATAACTTCCTGCTCATGGTTCTTCTTTTATGGGTCAGTGATACTTTACCAAGAAAGGGGGGGAAGTTCTAAGCTCAAATATGGTAAAAGAAGTACCCCATCCTCTGACATTCTATATCGATTGCAAGAAAACCATTTCAGCTAGGTATTCCAGCACACTAGACGAAGCTAGCAGGTAATTAAGTAATTCACATTGAACAGCAAAGTATTATTTGAAGCAATGGGTTCTTGAGCATCTGGTAAACACATATCTAAGAAATTAACAAGGGAATCTCATTAAAGGTGTATAAAGTGAATTGCCAAATTAACATTTTCTATAACTTGCAATTTTGAATAACTTTAAAAAAAGGAGAACTGAATCAGGCTCAAAGCTTCCTGCTAAAAAGCACTCTGTAATTCTCAAGCTTAAATAACCTAGCTCTCTAGTTACACATCAACTAACCAACTCACGCTCCCCAAAAGAGTTACTTGCAAGAATAAAATGACTCACTACAATGATAACTACAATAAATTCAGTAACTGTTTCACAGTTCAGAAGGGCATCACATGCACCGGATGTAATTTGTACGTCAAATTGAGTTATTTACCTTGTGTTGTTTGATGTATACTTAATCTGTTATTTATGCAACTATTCTACAACCCATATTGATGCCCTTCTTATATGTGGTGATCCAATTTGCATCCTTCCATGAATAGCCAATATTAATTTTGCATGCATGCATACTCCTATGAGATAGATCTTTCTTCCAAAATAGGAACAAACCTGATATGCATTGCTGTCAGGTGCATTTTCAAGCTTCACAAAAACATGATCACCATTCACAAGTGAAGGCCTTCGTTCAGCCAGCCCAGGGACCTCGAGAGCCAAAAATTGAGACCCTTTCCTTGTCATGTTAACACCCTCCATGTTATGGCACCTCATTTCTTCCTGAAAATATATGACAAAATGTTAGACCCTAAAGACATTGAGTATTTGTACATTCCTGAAATTGCAAATCATTTATATTACTTCTAGATGAAGCTCTTCCATTACAACCAATATACTGAAGAATGCAGCATAGGTCCCCATACTCAAATCTTCCATGGTAACATCAGGGACTTGCTTATTCTGCAATAACTCTCTGAGATTAATTGGTATTGGAAATTGAGGAAGCTTGTACTTAAATCCATGAGTTGTTGCCCTGGCAGGACGCGGGGAAACCACATGCTCATCAACTACAAATTGTTTTCTTCTTGGTGTTTTTGAAAATGGTCTGTTGGGAGCCAGAGAACGGGAGACATTGTCTTCAGCCAAAAGAAAAACAACGCGTTCAATCCTATCATCACCTGCATCAAAATATACCACAGATGTGTGCAACCCCATTTCCTTTGGTTTGCAAGATAACCAAACGGTAAGTGTATCATGCGGCTGAAGTACTCTGTCCTCGAGGGAATATCCCTCCATGAAGCCATATAATTTTTCTGCTTTCGAGTTTGCAGATGGAGGTTCTTTCAAAGACAAAGTAAACGAGTCTGCAGGATTTGAGCAGAATATCCGAACTCCCCAAAGCTCCACGGGATCACTAGTGGTGTTTGCTATTGTAATGGCACATTTTGAAATTTCACCTACAAGAATGGTCTGGGGCTTCCCTTGCACAAAGGGAAATGGGATAGATATAACGATTGGTCCTTCAGTGGCAGGATCATAGTTGCAGACAGATTTGTCATCCTCAAAATCAATGAACCCAATCTCACCCATGTCTCTGATGATGGAGTATTCGTCATCCCCATTATCCTTTCTGATTGTATCCATCCTAACAACAATGCACCAGCGATTAGCAAGGAAAGTACAGCTTGCATCTAATATTAAATCTCCAGATGGTAACTAGTATCTGAAACATAATTATACAACAGAAACTTTCAGTAAATGATTAAACGACTGAATTTCCATGTGCAGACAGATGTACACATACAAGCAAAAACTAAAGACATCAGCATCCTCATGAACTATAAAATATATCACAAAATCATCATACGGTTAACACAATTTCATTCAGATGCCATAAAATGCAAACCTAGTGTTTTCGATTCCCAACCATTTTTTTAAGCCGCGCTGGTCATGAAACTGATAGCTTCTAATCATTATAAGACTTCTAGTATTTATGTTTAAACATCAGATTATATAAGACTTCTAGTCAGTGATTAGTTTTATAAGCATTTGATCAGAATTCGGTGATACCCTCTTAACTAAACTGATGATTCACATGCCCTAGAGAAAATTTATATCAGCATATTAGCAGAATCCAAACAGAACAACTGACAGGGAAAATAATTAAAAAAGAAAAGGCTGGCCACAAAGTACACTCTAGATGGCAACTCGTATCATCCATTCCAAGTCTCAGCCACAAATAAATCGAGCAAAAATCCACTAAAATGACTTCCATTTCTGTTCTTAATTTATGATCAGCCTAAAAATTGACAGCAAAAAGAAACTATCAGAATCAAGGGCACATGCAAACCAAGTCAAATTGTGCAAATGCCGATCATAAGGGCAGCATCATTCTTGCCTGCACATTCAAAATCTAAACTCTTAAAAGAGAAGACAAGTACCAATCTTTTGATCAAAACACCCCAAGAAAGGCAAGATATTCAAAATTCAGGCCTTCCAATTGAGCCCTGGTTAAAACAGAGACAACCCAGATGACCCAATTGTATATTGCAACTTTGTATGGTTAGAGAACTGCACTGCAAAGAGAAGTTAAGGTTTCTTGATAAAGCCAAGAACCAAACAGTTGTGAAAGTGTGACCCTTTAGTTACTTCATTATCTGCTTCCCCGTAATTTAAAGTCTCAAATTGTTCTCAAAAGACTGTTGCTTTGCTTATTATAAGGAAAGTTAAGACAGGGAAATGCTATTGACACGAAGAGACATACAACTTAGTAAGGAAGTTGCTTGCACACAGGAAGTCACCAACTGTGCCTTGCTGCCATGGAATGAAAGAAATATGACTTTTTAACCATTTCTAAGGTGTGTAAGGAATGGGACCCATGACAACTGTAAGATGGACCAGTAGCTGACTTGGTGGGACCTGAATGGCTGGATTGCATGACCTTCAGAAATGGACTGGACCCGCTGAAATAAGTGGTTGTTGAGATTACTGCTGTTAAACTCGGTTGAATACAGTGGATCAGTAACCTGTTCAAGTAGAGCTAGATTGAGTTGGGTTTTAAATTAAATTGGATGAGAATTTATATTGTTGAAAAAAATCGGGTTAATTGAGTAAACCAATTCTTAAGCAGGTTAAAACATAGCTTGAAATTGTTTAAAATAAATTTTAAAACAATTAAAAGAAAAGTTAACGGGAAAAATATTTTATATTAGACTTGATTTACAGTGGATTCCAATAGTGGAATTATATTTTTACCCCAACAAAAAACTATTATAATTGGCTTGTAGGGTAAAGTGATTTTTTTATATGATTTATTTTATCATTCTTTAATTGTTGAGATTATTTTTTTCTTTTCATAAACTTTTTGTATAATGAATTTTCTCTAGTACTCTTAAAAGCAATTTTTAACTTAATTATGACTAGAGGCATGGTTGGTTTCACCTTTTTTTTCTTAGAACAGTGCAGTGACTCTTCCTTAAAGCATCTCTGCAAAGATCAATTTGTTATTTTATAATGGTTTTTTAGTAATAATTATTTGGTTCTAGGATGATTTTTTTTTTCACACAAAAAAAAGAGTTAAAAACCACTTTACCACCGTCATGTGAGCTGCAATGGTGGAAAAAAATGTTTTATTATGTCATTAAATATGTCCAAGTGTTTCTTTTTTTGGAGCAGTGTGTGTATAATAATGATGTACGGTTTTGAACCGGTTTAATTTTTTTCTTTTTTATTTCTCTTTTATATGCCTCGAATTTCACGTTCATGAAAAAAAAATAGCAATTCTTAAACTTCTCTTTTTTTTTTTTAATTTAGTCTTTGATTTATTTGAAAAGATCACTTTAAATTGATTTTTTTTTTAATTTTATCCTCAAGTTTTTCATCTTTTAAAATTAATCTTAACTCTTTTGATTTTTGTTAGATGGCTTATAAATTTTATTTGTTTTTTACAATTTCATCCTCATTCATTTTTTTTTTCTTGGTTTTTTTGTCAAACCTTTTATAATTTTTAATTCTATCATTCAAATTAAATTTATAATTTTTTTAATAATAATAATATTTATTTCAGTTTAGTTCTTATTCTTATTCTTTTTTATTTTTTTCCTTTGATAAAAATTTTATGGTTTTTAATCTTATTTTTCAAATCAAATTTATAATTTGTATCATAACAACAATAACAACGATACCAACAATATTATTAATATTACTAATAGTGATGATAATGTTAATCATGATGGAAATAATAGTAGTTTATTATGATAACAATAGTAGTGATGATGGTGATAATTATAATAATAATATTTATAATAATAATAATAATAATAAAAGTAACAACAACAACAATAATAATTGTAACAATAATAATAAAACCAATAATAACCATAATAATTACAACGAAGGTAGTAGTTTTTCATAATAATAATAATAATAATAATAATAATAATAGTTGTAATGATAATAATAATTGTAATAGTAATAATATTAATTATAGTAACAATAATAATAATACTATTAATATTAATGATAATGATAATGATAATAATAATAGAGTTTCAAAACTGTAGATTTTCTAATGAGACTCTTTGCTAACCAATTCTCACTACGAAAACATTACAACATCTCTCTATATGAGCTCCAAGAAAACCTGTTGTAACTTGGATAATAGAACAAGAGTAAGAGAACCCTCTGTTTCTTTTAATCATTCCTTTGTTAGGATTAGTGGAGGACTCAACTTATTTAGCCAAGAATAATAGAGCAGCAACAAACCTTAAATGAGTTAAAGCAATCTTTATTACACGTTGGGTGGAGAGACAAGCCTCCTGGTACAGCACCAACAAGTATCCATTGAGGCTGAGGCTGAGACCGAGAACTGAGCGGCTGAGCACCCAACAGGCATTAGTTGATACAAAGAAATGAGAAGCAGAGCGTTGCCTTTTTTGCTAGTGTATGTTATAGATACAAGAAGCCATCAACATAAACAATTTGCAGACTTTGGAAATCAAAAACTCAATTCCAGTACTAGGCAATGACCGCTTAATATGCATAAAAGAACTTGAACTTGTGCAGTAGAGTTCCCCCCAACTTGAAGAAAACTGTAGGATCTCATGATGATGGCAACCGAGGTATCCTCCACGTGTTCTAAAACAGCAGATTCTCTGGATAGATGAGACTCTCTGCTAACCAATTCTCTTTACAAAAACATTACCAGCCTTCTGAACAGCGCATCCAAATCAGCTCCAATAAAACCTGATGTAACTTGGGCAATTGCACAAGACGAAGAGAAACGTCAAGTTCAATTCTTTGAATCATTCATTCGTTAGGATTAGTAGAGGTCACAATGTTATGTCCAAATTCAAAACTTGAAATAACTAATTTAAGCTGGAAAATCCATCACCTGAAGGAAAACAAGACTGGTTAGTGTACACCTTGTAGTTTATACACAAAGATTCAAGTCAATACACAATGTAAGGTGGGACTTATTGCCAAAAACAGATCCCTGGAAATCACCATAAATGTTACAGACCACTCACTAACCAACCATGGAATTTCTGATAATAAAAAAAATTAATGGATTTGAAAAAAAAAAAAACTGTGTGTTTGCTGTGGTACAGATAATGGATAGCAGCACTAAAAGGACCGATCTTTATGTGAATGAAGATGTTGTACGTCAAACAATAAAGTAGAAGACTTGAGTGGTGTGATAACTCAAAAGAGGTACAGCAACCTAAAACAGCACTTGAATAGAAAATCTTCACTTCATTTTTCTAATTTGAGAGCTTTCACGCATAAATCGGCTTATGATTTCATCATGAGATTCCAGATCCAATAACATCTTAAATGTAGACGAATCCGCCGAGAATCTCCTACCAACCATTTCATCAATAAGTTGTATAGCAGTTGACGGGTCCTTATTTTGAAGAAATCCTTGAATGATAACATTATAAGAACAACTGTCCGGCAAGAAGCCATCATCTTCCATTTTACGAAACAATTTGTATGCTTCATCTGACAGCCCTTCTTTAAGCAGTCCCTTAATCATGATATTGTATGTCCGTACAGAAGGTCGAATTCCATTAGCAAAAAGCATGGAAAATAGTTCCTTTGCAACTTCAAGCTTCCCAGCAATAAACATGCCTTGAATAAGAATATTATAAAGGACTATATCCGGTTCTAATTTCCTCTCTTGCATTGACTTGAGCAGTTTTAAAGCCTCCTCCAAATGTCCATGTTTGCATAAGCCATCTAACAAAATCGAGTAAGTCCTCAAATTTGGAAGCATGCCAGAAGAACACATCTTCTTGAATAGCTCTTGCGCTTCTAGAAGACTACTTGCATGGCATAGACCTTGCATAAGAGTGTTGTAAGTGACAGTATTCGGAATCAATTCCTTTTCAGACATTTGAGTAAGTAATGCTTTTGCCTCATCCATCCTTCTACTCTTGCAGTATCCATTGATCAGGATGCTGTAACTATGTACACTAGGTGCACAACCCTTGCCAACCATGATTTCAAACAACTTGCTGGCCTCATTCATTTCGAGCCGTAAACAGTAACCATTCATCAAAGCATTGTAAGTGTAAATATTTGGCTCTACACCTTTTTCAGTCATTGTTTCAAAGACACACCGAGCTTCTGAAACCATTCCTTTTTTGCAGAGTACATCAACCAAAATAGTGAAGGTCACTGTATTTGGCATAACATCCCTACCAGCCATCTCATTAAACAACTCTACTGCTTCTTTAATCCTCCCCTCATTGCAGAGCCCATTAATGAGTGTAGTGAATGTGACAGAATCAGGTTGAATACCCAGTTTGAACATCTTACTCAAGACAGAGACAGCAAAATGAATATGGCTCAAGCGACAAAGAGAGTTAATCAATATATTTAGAGTATAATCATTGTGGGCAACTCCAAACAAATCCATTTGATTGCACAAGGATACAACTGTAGAATACTGTTTCTTTTTGGCAATGGACCCTAAGAATTTGCCAAATTCCACAAAAGAAGGCCTAGGGTTCATGTGGATCATGCGATAGAATGAAGCCATGGCATCACCAATACCAATGTCATTGCTGTTATTACTAACAAACCCACCATTGTTTTGAGGCAAAGCAGGTTTCTTAGTACAAGTAGAAGTGGTTAAGTGGTAATGATTGGAGAATAAGAAAGAAGGAAAATCAGGAAGAAGAAGAATACCCATTTCCATTTGTTGTTGTTGAAAACCTCTAAAAGCGCTTTTCCGCGTGAACATCATCATTGTTAGGTTAAAAATCTGCGGTATCTCTGACGGTTTGTTCCTCACCTCCTTCGAATCAGAAGATGAAAGCAATCCTCAATTTTTTCCAAGAAAAATGGAAAAATAAACATGGAAAATGGAGTGGTTTTTCATTTTTTCCGTTTAATGATTTTTTTGACAGAACTGCCCTTATACTCTTCAACTAATACCAAACATATCCTACACACACTCTTCTTCTCCGCCGTTTCATTCTACAAGAAAGAGAAGCAACTGAGAAGCTGCTGGTTGTTCATCAAAAGGAAGTAAAGAAATCAAAGGTATGCCCAGTTTCTTCTTGTCTCTTACTTGCCTATGGTAAATCACTCACTTCATGTATTGAATACTAACTGTAAAATAATCTTATAGGTAAAATAATGCGCGTAGAGAGTATGGAGGAAGAGGATAAGTATGTGGAGTATGCTCCTGAGGTGAAGCGTCGAGCATTGGCAGCTCAAGTGATTCTTCAGAGAAGGGGGGATTCGTCTGCTTTAGAGGATGAACTTGAAAAATCTAAACTTGCAGAAGCCAAACCCAGTGTCCTTGTCAAAGCGTCTCAGCTCAAGCGTGACCAACATGAAATTAGTCAGACGGAGCAGATTGTGCAACAAGAAAAAGAAATGATAGAGCATCTATCTGATAAAAACAACACTCATGTCAGTTCGTGAATTGGCCAAGGGAATCACATATACGGAGCAATTGTTGACAGGATGGAAGCCGCCGCTTCCAATCGGGAGAATGTCCAGAAAGGAATGTGATGCAATTCGAAAACAGTGGCATATAATAGTTGATGGTGAAAAAATTCCTCCACCGATTAAGAATTTTAAAGATATGAGGTTTCTCGATCCTATTTTGAAAATGCTAAAAGCCAAAGGGATCGTGCAACCTACTCCTATTCAGGTGCAAGGTCTTCCTGTTATCTTGACAGGAAGGGACATGATTGGGATTGCCTTTACAGGATCTGGGAAGACTCTTGTTTTTGTGCTTCCACTGATTATGATTGCTTTACAGGAGGAGATTATGATGCCCATCATGCCTGGAGAAGGCCCCGTTGGTTTGATTGTCTGCCCATCTAGATAACTTGCCAGACAATCTTATGAGGTTGTGGAACAATTTTTGATTCAGATGAGAGTCTGGGTATCCAGAACTGAGGCCATTACTATGTATTGGTGGAGTAGATATGAGGTCACAGTTGGAGGTTGTAAAGAAGGGTGTGCACATTGTAGTTGCAACTCCTGGAAGGTTAAAGGACATGCTAGCAAAGAAAAAAATGAGCCTGGACAACTGCAGGTAAGCACCATTTATTTTGTGATACAGTACCGTTTTAGATTAATGACTTTTGTAATCTTGTTATTGTGATAGTTATGGATTCTTACTTTTATCTTGTTGAGAGGGTCCCTATTTGCTATATGCATCCGTATAGATTTGATACCAAAGCCTCTGCCATATATTTCCTCTCTTTTTCCAGACCCCCTTTTCAGTAAGTATTTTTTATTATCCTTTCTTAGTTCTGCTGACATGCAACCTCAGCTGACATTCCTCATCTCAAAACTTTTTTCAAACTTAGACAATGTCTGCATGCTGGTTATACTTCTAGTCTAGGAAGACTTCAAAACTTTAAACTTGATCATATTTTCTACTCTGGTTTAATTTGGCTTTTTCTCCACAAGCGGTACAATTGAGTTCGACTTATTTCCTGTCATTTGAGAAAGCCACAAAGGACATTGTTCATAAGATAGCCTTCTAACTTGGGAAGTGATGCAGGGACTTGTGGTATGTGGAGAATAGTTCCATAGTAGTTGTTCAATGATTCTTTGAAGATGTGTAGTCTGAATAAACTTTTTTGGTATTGTATCTTCAGCTTCTTTGTATACTATGAAGATGATATCTTCAATCGAAACGTTCGATGCAGCTGTATTTAACCGTGCATACAAGAGTTGATGTTGCCATTTTCCCTTCATTCTTTTCTTCTTTCTATTCCCCCTTAGTTTCCTAGTCTTGCAGCAAATTGTATGGCATTGCCACCTTGACTCATTCGATGCATTTTTTTTCATCCTTCCATATAATGTTTGATGCATTTTTCTTCTCTCTGTATCTCTTTTTTCCTTTTCTCCCTGAAGATATATTTTTTATTTATCTGCTAGCTACTTTTTGTTAAGATTATTGCCTTCTTTTCAGGTAATTGACATTGGACAGATAGATTAGTGGATTGGGGCTTTGAGGATGACATAAGGGAAGTATTCGACCACTTCAAAGCACAAAGGCAAACTCTTTTATTCTCTGACACCATGCCCACCAAAATTCATAATTTTGCTAGAAGTGCTCTTGTGAAGGCTGTCACTGTTAATGTGGGAAGAGCCAGGGCAGCAAACCTTGATGTGATTCAGGAGGTTGAGTATGTAAAACCGGAGGCAAAGATTGTTTACCTTCTTGAGTGCCTACAGAAGACACCACCTCCTGTATTGGTATTTTGCGAGAACAAGGCTGATGTGGATGACGTTCATGAGTATCTCCTCCTGAAGGGAATAGAGGCTGTTGCCATTCATGGAGGCAAAGACCAGGGGGGGAGAGAATATGCGATTTCATCATTCAAAGCTGGCAAGAAAGATGTCTTGGTTGCAACTGATGTCGCTCAAAAGGCTTGGATTTTCCTGACATTCAACACGTAATGAACTATGACATGCCTGCCAAAATTGAAAACTATGTACATGGGATTGGGCGAACAGGAAGATGTGGTAAGACTGGCATCACAATGACCTTTATAAACAAAAACCAGAGTGAGACAACACTTCTTGATCGGAAACACCTCTTGCAAGAAGCGAAGCAGAGGATTCCTCCTGTTGTTTTGGCTGAGTTAAACGATCCAATGAAAGATGGAGACGCAATTACTTCTGCATGTGGAGTTAAAGGGTGTGCTTATTGTGGTGGTCTCGGTCACCATATCCGTGATTGCCCCAAGTTGGAGCATCAGAGAAGCCAGCAACTTGCTAACTCCAGGAGGGATTATTTCGGGTCTGGTGGTTATAGGGGAGAAATCTGATGTATTTGTACGGTCTTTTCAGCTGACATGGCATGCATATCTTTATGCTATGTTTGTGTTACTGTATCAGAGAACTTTATGTTCTGTTAAATGGCAGGGTTGAAATAGAGAGGCTTTTGTCATAAATTATTCTCTGTAAATGTAGTCCAAGATAACCAGTATTGGAGGATTATCTTGTAAGCTAACATTTGTTTTTATAATTTATGATCTCTTGCCCTGCTTATTGAATCATCATGTGTGCTTTCACAAATTTATCCCTTAATATCAAGAAGTGCAAGACTGGACAGGATGCGAAGAAAAAGTCTACCATGGAGATGAAGGAGATTTGAGCAAGGAAGAAGACAGAAAAGACGAAGTTGATAAATCAATGAAGCCAAGACTTCAACTCGGTAGCTATAGCGTATATAGGCGCTCTATTCTGTGGCTCCCAGCAACAGCTCAATCATACAACTGTTGTTGGTGTCCTACAGATACTTCTCTTTTTTATCTCTCAATTTGTGTTTTTTTTCCTCAATAATAATAATAATGTTGAGCAAATTAATGCCGGAGGCTTTTCATAATTCCACTGGGCAGGCTGTATTAATCTCTCTATGCAGTTGAGCTATAAGTTTTATTTCTAGCTTTCCTCTTTTCTTTTCTTGTTTTGGTTGATGGGAGCATGGATGCTGAGTTTCAATATTAAAAATAAACAAAGCTGGAGGGTGCAGGAGTACATGCATTCTCAAATGTTTGCCATGTTGATGTGGAACGCAAAAGCAAAAGGAAGCCAAATGAAGTGGTATACATCTCATCTGCAACTCATATTTCAGTTAATATTTGCTTTCACTGCTGCTAATGTTTTTGCTTGTAGGAATTCCCATTGTTCTTTTTTTTTTTTCGTTTTCAACTTAAAAGAAACATTTTGGGTTTTAAAAACTAATAATATTATGTAAACATCAGATGGCTGAATAGATTGGCTAATGCCCATTACATAAGTGTAGCAGCTGTTGCTGACCCCCCTCAAGCCATCTAGCAATTTCAAGTAAGTCATCAAATTTGGAAGCAGGCCAGAAGTACACATCTCGTTGAAAAGATTAAGAGCTTCCTGAGGTCTCCCTACTTGGCAGAAACCTTGCATAAGAGTGCTGTAAGTGACAGTATCAGCCTATCAGGAGTCGATTCCTTTTCAGACATTTCAGAAAGTAATCTTTTTGCCTCGTCCAGCCTTCTTCTCTTGCAATTTCCATTGGTCAAGATGTTGTAACTATGTACAACAGGAGCATGACCCTTGCCAACCATGATGTCGAGCACTTTTTGGGCGTCATCCATTTGGTTATTTAAACAATATCCATCCATCAAGGCATTGTAGGTATAAAGATTTGGCTCCTCACCTTTCTCGGCCATCGTTTCAAAGACACACCGAGCTTCTGAAACCATCCCTTCGTTGCAGAGTCCATCAACCAAAATGGTGAAGGTCACTGTATTTGGCATTACATTCCTACCAACCATTTCTTTGAACAATGTTGTAGTGGAATGCTCCGATCCACCATTTCAGATAAGAATTCCATGGCGTCATTAACTAGCCTATCTTTGCAAAGGCTGTCTATGATTGTATTATATGTCACCACATCTGGCTTACACCCATTTTGTCCCATCTTGTACACGTGAACGGCCATACTTGTGTTGCCAGTTTTACACAATCCATTGATTACAGCAGTACAGTTAGTTACATCAGGTTCATGCCGTCTCCGTACCATCTCGTTAAACAATCCTTCTGCCTCTTTAATATCGCCCTCAATGCAGACCCCATTATTGAGGGCATTGAATGTGATAGCATTAGGTTGCATACCCAGTTTGACCGTCTTACCCAAGATAGAGACAGCAAAATGAACATGGTTGAAGCGACAAAGGCGGTAAATCAATATATTTAGAGAATAAACATTGTGGGTAACTCCAAACAAATCCATTTGATTGCACAAGGAGACAAAAGTGGAATACTGTTTCTTTCCGGCAATGGAGCCTAAGAATTTGTCACATTCCACAAAAGAAGGCCTAGGGTTCATGTGGATCATGCGATAGAATGAAGCCAAGGCATCATCAATACTGACGTTATTGCTATAATCACCAACAAACCCCCCATTTTTTTTTGTGGCAAAGGTCTCTTTGTACAAGTAGAAGTGGTGATGATTGAAGAACAAGAAAGAAGGGAAATGAGGAAGAAAAGGAAAGATGCCCATTTCCATATGTTGTTGAAGAACCCGAATAGCAGAATCAGAAGAAGCAGTAGCTCTTACTGCTCCTCTCCTCCTTCGAAGCCGAAGATGAAAGCTTTTCCACTCAACTCCGTGTCTCTTTCTCAAATTGGGTGTCTTGTCTTCTTGGGTTCAGCTTTGGTAAAAGACCATTTTACTTTTATTTGAAGCCCAATGGCTAATAACTTGACTCTCTATCATTTCCTTTAAAAACAGAACATGGTGCCAAAGAAATATAGATCAGATTAGATTAAAATTAAAATTAAAAAAATAATTGAAGACTTAGATTCATTGCGCTCTGTATTGCTACAATATAATAATAAATTTTTTCTTCCATGAAAAAACCATTGAATTAGCTATTAAAAATAACACAGACTTTTCATAAGAGTCTGTTCTTTCAAAAATTAAATATATTATTTGTATTAATTTTGTTTATTATTCTTTTAGTTGATATTCGATTTGCTTTTATATCTTTTTAAAATTAATTTTTTTATTTTTTTCAGATTTAATTTAATTTAATCATTGTTATTTTAATTTTATTTTATTTTATTTTTTAATTTTATCTCTTATTATTTTATTTTATTTAATTTTATATCAAATTTAATTTTATTGTCTTTTGTTTTTTTTAATCATTTCTTTATTTTGTTTTTCAATATGATCGCTAGTGTGGCTAGGATTAAAGCTAACTTAAAAAAAAAAAAAAAAAACGTAAACCGTCAACAAGTCCATGCAATTGAGTGGCTAAGGAGACAAGCTTGAGATTTTTTGGGCTTTGGACCTCGCGGGTTCAATTCTTGCAGCTTGTTAATTTTATGTTGTGGTTTTCTTCTTTTGCCTTCTCTTTTAGTTCAATTGTTAACTTGATTTTTCTACTTGAGACTTACTTTGTTAATTTCTGAAGGTTGAGAAAATTATGTTATTTTAATTTTCTTGTATTTTTTTTTAGAGCCATGCATGTAATGTTTTAATTAGTTACCTTGGATAATCTTCCTTTTTACGATTAAAAATAAATAAAAATCAGTCCATTTCTTTCCTTAATGCATATTTTACATTTTCCCCCCCGTTAATATTGCTTATACTTAATATTGCCTTGCGCCTTCTGCTGTCACGGGTTCGAGCTTTGGAGTTGCATGCCTGTCAGCCCCGCGCTGCCTTACCTGCCTGCTGGGTTTGCAGGGTGTTCAGTGGGCCGTGGGGATTAGTCGTGGTGCGCGTAAACTGGCCCGGACACCCCACGTAAATCAAAAAAAAAAAAAAAAAGTAATGTTATCATCAAAGCATATGACTATTATAGTGATCAATTTACTAATTATTTGAAATTCAAGAATTAAGAAGTACAAAGTGTATTAATGTTAATTAATTAGAAGAGGATAATTAGTTCAATTGGCCTAAATCATAGGGAATTTTTTTTGCATATTTTCCTAATAAATCTAGGGTTTCCAAAATTGATTAGCCTTTCATATCAGCCCCCACTTAATTAAAAGTGGAAAATGCTTCCAATCCAGCATGAGGTGTGGTGGCTTAATTATAAGATTCTAAGGATTTTGTTAAAAAATCAATGTGCATATACACATTCAAAGTGGATAAAATAACAATAGCTAAATTAGGTATGAAAAACATGGTAGCAAAGGAGTGAAAATATTGTTTATCCTAACAATGTTTTCATGATTTTGCCCTTATCACTAAAAAAAATTAACACTAACTAATCGGGGTATTGGAGTTTTCTCACAATATCCATTAATTATTAACAGATTGATCACGAGTATATAATTTTTTTTATCTTAATTGCACAATAAACTAATCAAAATATCATTGAAAAAGGAATATTTAAAACTAGTATTAAGGGAATTTTTTGTATTTTTCACAATGATTTTATGATTATTACCAAGCTAGATGAGGAATGATTTGATATTTGATCAAATATATAAAAACAATAATAATAAAAAAAAGTATAGATACATGTAATGCATTCTTCTATGCATATAATATCTCTCAACGTTCAAAAATATTCTTCTACTATCACATTAAAAAAAACACCACAGCCTCTTACTAGTGTGTGCTTATTAGATATTGCCTGCTAAGTTGAAGATTTCTTAATTCTTTTGAATATATTTCTTAAACTCAATAGTTTGCTTTCTCTTAAATGTGATCCACAATAAAATCATTAATATCAACATCCTTTAAGGACTTCATCAATTTTCAATTTCTTAATTATATAAAAAAAAATTGACCTAATCTCCTATGTCATGTAGGATATTTTTTTCTAACAACATGTTTAATGCCAAAGTTATCATCATACGCAATTTTAAGTTTATAACCAAGGGCAAGATTGAAATGAAATTTAAAAAATCCATCATCCATAATACCATTATAAACAAAAACATTATCTTTATACAAATAAAGAGAATTACCAATAAATTTCAATATGTAGGAAAAGGTCTTCAAATTAAAATAAAATTTATTAAAAAAGATGGAATATAAAAGGTTCTTTCAAGGTCTAAAATAAACTAGAACTAAATAAAGGTTATAGATTCTAACCACATCTATACAAGAAAACATCTTATTTTTTGAATAAATAACACATTTTTTTTATTGGTTTTCTTTGATTTAAAAAGCTCTGCATCATACTGATAACATGGATTATAAAACTATAATCAATCCACCAAATATTAAAAAAAACATGAAACATATTAGCTTTAATACATATTAAAAAGATGTGATTACCTTTATTTTCAAGCTAATGCTTAATTACCTTTATTTTCAAGCCAATGCTTAAATTTGGGATAGGCATCCTTTAGATGTCCTTTATTTTTGCAAAAGAAACATTAACATTACCCTTACTAACTTAACTAAGATGATTTTTTTGCTTCTCTTTCTTGGATGGTTTCTTTTAATGAATCGTTAAATATGCATTTTCAATCATTTCTTGATTCATCATCCTTTTCTCTCGTGCACACATGATCAAAAGTTCATTGATTAGCCATCTTTCATGTGTGTTAGAAGAGCTCTTAAAGGGTTTATATTCAGATAGAAATGAGAAAAGGAAAAAAAAAAAGAAGTAAAAATGACTTATACATCTTAATCTTTAATGATTCTAGACTAATAACTATGTCATGTATCTGTATGATTAGCTCAAACATACTTTTCGTGCTATTAAATTTTATAGAATTTTTTTTTTCATTAGGGTGCTCGTTAATGCCTTGTAAAAGAAATATCAAACTGTTTCTAAATAACTTAGAGGTATTATTTTATTTTGGCACAATCAGGTATGGATCCATAGATACTTCTTCCAATATGAGACTTGATAAACATCAAACTCAAGGAATTGAATCGCTCCTAAAGATCATATGATGTTTTGTCATCTTGGGTGTTTGATTTTGTGGGTTTTGGAGGCTTATCCACTCGAAGTATCAAATCAAGGTCCATGCATCCTAATGCAAGGATAACTTTTGTCGTCCAATCGATGGAGTAATATTAGAGAAATCAAAACTCAGAGCAGATAAAGTTTGAACTGCAAAAAAACAACAAAACTATGAAGCCAAATATAAAACATTTAAACATGTGAATTAATCTAAATAAATAAATCAACATGTCATTATAATCTTTCATGTGTGCTTAGTGATAACATACAAGCAATTTAAATTACATTCAAGAATCCCGATATAGTTTAGGGACTTGTGAAGTTTTTCTCCAAACTAATGACAAGGACTCAAGTTAGTGCCTAGTAGTTTAGCTGGCATCTTATCTGGCTTTGTATTTGAAGACTTGAAAATCAAATCTCAGGCTAGTTAGGACCAAAGAGAGAGATTAAGGATAAAAACTAAAATGGTTTGTGTTTCTTTTACTGAATTGAGCCATTGTAATTTGCATAGCAAACTATAGTAGGACACAAACTACTAAGGTTCTGTTTGATGATGTGTTGTGAAATGAATAGAGATGCATTTAAGCTAATCATAACTTTGAAAGTTATTTGGTTTTTATTATTTAAACCTGTTTTTTTTTTAAAAAAAAAACTATAACCACAAAAGCTAAATACCATACACACACACACTAAAAAAGAGTTTATCACACAAAGTGTTCAACAGATTGGATAAGGTTTATTTGTAGGTCAATACCAGTGAAACGTGGAAAGAAGAAGAAGATAGAGGAAGGAAAAGAATATATACTGATTTTCTTTTTCAAAAGGTGCTGGTCTAATTATGATCTCACCGCACCAAAGTGTAAGACAGTGTGAACTGTCTGCCCTTTACCACATGGCAACAAAGTGGATTGCCCTTAAAGTAAGCAATCAGGCTGGTTCTCTCCTGATTTCTTTCTTACAATACTTGAAGCTGCAAAAGGCAATTTGATACTATTTTGTTATATGTTTGACAGCAAAATCATGGCTATAGACCCCTTAAATAAAACAATAAAATTCTATATTAAGATTGCAACTGCTTACAGAGAAATCTTATTGAAGTAGTAATATAGGAAACATCAAACATATGTCTAGGACAACTTAACTGCAACACCAGATAGTTATAACAGGTAAATGAAAGGGAAAATAGACACTTGTAGAGTAGATAATAAGCCCCGAGAAACTTGTGAAGTCGGCTTAGGAAGGCCTGTGTAATTGCAAAGACATAGTTAATCATTCTGGGACTGGACTCACACTCCTGAGTTATATTTCCTTGCAGCCTCTCTGCCGTCAATGGTTGATGTGTAACTATCTTCTATTGTGGATGGCCTGGTTCCATAGCGCCTAGCAGCTTCCTTGTTGCCCATAGTTTCTGTATAGGCTGGTTGTTTATAGCGGGATCGAGGAGGAGAGGTAGTGGCAGAAGGTTTTGCAACTTCTGCAGTTGATGTTGAATGAGTTGGCCTTGCCCACCCACCACTAGTGATCATGGTCGGTTCCTTGTTGCTAACTTGTTTGCGGTAATAATCATCATAGCTGTCATTTCGAGGCGCATTACCGCTGGGCTTTAGCAAGTCTTTGTTGTGGAAAACGTTGCGCTCATCGTAGCCTTCATAGCCTGTGGATTTAGGGGCCAGGCGCCAGTATGAAGCATCCCAAGGGGCAATCTTGGGTGGGCTAGCATCAGTTTGCACTTTGGTGATGGATTCCTCAACATTTTGTGGGCGACTATTAACTGAAGCCATAGGTCTACGGAACTTATCCTCTTCTCCGTAAGGATCCTCTGTCAAGCGAGTGCTATGCTTGTATTCAGACTCCAGAGGTGAATGAACATCCTGTTGAAAAATCGTCTCAGTTCTTGTAACATAGTGATCTGCATTCTTATCAGCGCCATAGAAAATGAGAGGCATTTTCCTCCCTTCAGCATCAATGATGACCGGTCGGCACACGTGATCAGGAGCATTGCTTTTTTTGCTCCAAAAATCATCAGAGCTTGGTGTACTGTTGGTGGAATAGCCCCTGTACGCTTGACCATACCTAGCCATCACTCTCTTAGTATAGGAACTTCTTGCCTTGTAGGACTCTAGCACTTGGATTTCTTTTCTTGCTTATGAAAGATGTTAGAACTTCTCTTAAATAGAAAATCTGGACTCCCCTGTTCAAATGAATGATGCCAGATCAGCTATACGAGGCATAAAAGGATCTTATGCTGCCTTTTGCTTTGCACTTTGATACTACCTTAAAGTTCAATCCACCAGGATACTTGATAAGGAACCATGTTCTAAGCATTTCATAACAGTGAATTCCAATCCTTTCACTTGCTCCCCCACACCCCACCCCCCCAACAAGAACAAAGGAGAAAGAGAAAGGATGAGAGAATCGCTTTTCCAGCGAGCAAGAAAAAGAAAAAGAATAGCCTTTGGTGAGAGAGAGACTTGGAAGTCGGGACTCTACTTTTAAAATGGCAATATCCACAACATGCACAAAATTGAAATTGAGAAATTCACAGAGAATTCAGTGCCATCTGCTTGCATTGAGCACCTTCTGTTGAGAGTATTTTCCTTTACTAATCACTGGCATATCATTGTAGACCATAATATTGAAAATGTCAATCGCTCAGCAAAAAAGAACACCACTCCTCCCAAATTCGATCAGTCCTTTTCACCTGTACCGCTAAATAAAAGTTCGAAGAGTCATGTTCGGCTTCTCCTGGACTGTGACCTCCATTACTTGCAAGGCCATTGAAGTCCTGCTCTAGTTTCCATTTCAAACAAAGTTGTCTTCTTCATTTTCTCCAACTTGTGGAGAATTCTGAATTTCTACGGGACAAAGACAAGTAGGATATTCATTCCGACTCCACAGCTTTGGGCAACGTAATCAAATACGGTGGAGCAAAAGAGAAAGTCAGCTCTACAGTAGTATATGTTTACTTGTTAAGCATAGTGGATCAAAAGGCATAGGTGATGGATATTTTCGTGCTGTAAGCTCATTTGATTTTGCAGCCCTTCGTCTGAAAGACAGCCTTGAACTTGAAAATACCTTATCGCAGATCCCTTGCTGTACATTCTATCTGGGAAAAGAATAACGACTGTTGATAAATTTTATGTAGCACCAAGTTTATCCCACTGCTCAGATTTATCATCATTTCTGCGCAAAAATGATGCGTAGACTTTGATATACCTGGTATAACCCTCACCAGTTCCTGGAAAAACATAGCATCAAACTTAATGTTCTAATAGAGACATGAAAACCACTAGTTCCACAACCAAGCAGGCAAGCACCAACCAATGACTTTAATGTTAACCCTTTGTCATTGTTTCCATTCCATACATTATTATCAACACACTGATGGCAGACCACAATGATCACATGAAATGTTTGAAGATAAAATTGATATGGAGCACGGAGCGTGTGCGGGCCACTTGGGTAATAACTCAAAGCCCCTACTTAACAAAAAGCTTCAAGTATATGTAAAGCATATTGATCAATTCTACTTTGTAAAATAAAAATTACATGTATTTCACAAAAGACTTCAAATACAAAATAAAAATTATCCAAGGTCTTCCTTGTTAGAAATACATAAAAAAAATTTAAACATTTAAAAGTTCTCATCTATAACTTTGCCGAACACTCTTAATTGTTCATCTTAGGCCGGCTGTGAATTGTGCCATGATGTAAAGTTTCTCACCATGCAAGGGAACATAGATTATTCGCACAACCTTTTTTCTGTAAGTAAACATCTAAAAGCACAGATGGTGATAAAAGTTCCATGACTATCACGTGCCTTGTCTTTCTATTTTCTAGGGGTCGAATGCCGGGATTCCAGGCGAAGGAGAATGGAAAGCACGACATATTTTCTCGCTTCTTCAACAAGGCAGCTGTCTGCTAAATGATGGAGCTAAGATAGAATGCTGAGGGCAACAGAAAGTGCTAGACATGCTCCAAAGGGCTCCCCCCACTAGAGATGAGGCATGCTCAAGCTTCACAGTTTCTTCGACAATTTTCACCAGCGCTTCACGCAATAAATCTTGTTAAGTTAGTGATAGGTAGCATTCTAACACGTTTAGTTTAACAGAAAAGAACACATATATTGTATGCCCCAACACGCAAAAACAAGGAGTATGAGGATCACCTCTGCAAGCAAACATGCATGCACATCGCCATGGGACTTGAAGAACCATATAGGACCATTACAAATGAATATTCCTGGAAACATGTTCATGGATAATAAGTTTGAAGATGAAAGAACGGGCTTCATAGCTCAACTATATATTAAAGCTCATAATTAAGAGGAAAATGGGCCATTCCTTCGGCAATAATCCTTACCTTCAAATGCTGTTCGATCATGCACTGGAATATGAAGCCATCGAACTTCAAATGCCCTGAGATTTGCCAAAAAAAACATTGTAAAATCATTTATTTAACTGCACTGGAAATGATAGAACAAGTAGGACTGCCCAAATTTTTATTAACAGTTCTAAAAGATTATTCCTTTGTTATAAAGAAATTATGCAGGGCCCAAAGTTTTTTAAATAAAAAGGTAAATTATTAACAAATATTATATTATATTATATTACATAGATACGAATTATAAATTAATTCAAAATAAATATACTAACTCATATAAAGAAAAATTAATTTAAAAATATTTTTAAAATAAAAAAAATTATATTATAATTATTCTCTTTGAGTTTTCATAATAACAAAATTCAATGAAGTTACATAATAATTATAAATTTTTTATATTTTAGATGAAAGTAAAATCAGCATTCTTAAACGGCAACCATAAAGAGATAGTACATGTACCACAACTAGCTAGCTTTATGGTAAAAAGAAAATAAGAGAAGGTTTGCAGATTGAAGAAAGCTCTTTATGGGCTTAAACAAGCACCAACAACATGGAACTCCAAAATTGATGGCTATCTTTCACATAAAGAATTCATAAATTACCCTTATGAACATGCATTATATGTGAAAAAAAGTTTACAAGGTAGAGTAATTTTTGTTTGTTTATATGTTAATGATATATTTTTCACAGGGTATTATCAAACTATGAATCAAGTGTCACGACCCGAATCCCGGATCCATGACCGGCACATAGACAAGGTTCCCCTCCAAGGTTCCATACCTATGCGAACCTAAACTTACATACAAATTTATCCTAACTCAATCAGAGTTCAACGCAGCATTAATAACAAAATCAAATTCATAATATAATTGAATTGTCTTAATACAAGAGTTAATATAATTTCATAGTTTTGGAGCACTAATTAGACATAAAGGAAAATGCACGGATTACAACCAAAAGAGCAGGTTCTGAAGGTCCAACAAAAGTGACCTGCTATCAAGCTATAAGCCTGAAAATGATAAATAATGAGAGTGTGAGTTCAACAACTCAGTGAGTAGATAACATTCAATATACACACACGAGATAATACAATAATGAGAAATATATATACAAGTATGAATTTAGGTTCTTATAAAAAGGTTTCTCAAATAGGCCATAACAAGAATGTCGTATGGTAAAATCGTCAGAAAATCAAAATGCAATGAGCATGAGGCTCCGTACTGTGGGATGATCAGTCCACACAGGTTGGTGACTCCCCCGACCAACTAGGGTTCAGATACGATGTGCACAAAGACTAACACTACCCTGTTAGCATAGATATTCTAACTGACATACCATAGGGTTATAATCATAATCAAACAGACATATTCATATCTCAAGGCTCAACTCATGACATCAATCAAATGAGGAGCTATCAATTCAGAAGTCAATCCAAAATACATACTGGTTCATATCAAGAATTCGGATTCAACGAATGGTCATGCTTATCATAACAAGGATAATAGTCACCAAATATATTACCAAGAAGCATGATCCAATTCATATTAACAAATCAAATATTTATAATATTTCTCATGCATATGGAAAATTATCCACTCACCTGACTCGAAGCAAACAAAAGTCAAAAGCAGACACCGGAGAAAATCCTACTGACGTCCCGCCGGTAGAATATCAGGATTATCTGAATATAAAGAAAACATATTCAAGAATGACTCAAAAGAACATATAACCTATTTAATACACTTAACTAAGAGTCTATTTCATAACCCTATATGTATTTAAACTAAACTAGTTATTTTCCTAAAAACCCAAAAATTAACGATTTTCTCGAAATCTAATCCATAATAAAACAAATAATAAAATTGGTAATACTTCACTAACTAACCCTCAATTATTCATCAAACACATCTGCAAAAGCTAATATTACAGCTAGGGACTAATCTGTAATTTATTATATTTTTAAGGGTCAAATTGTAACTTTATCCATTTGGAGGACCAAACTAAACTTATCATAAATCCATGAATATACTGAAATTCTGACCATAATCAATCCTCATTTCTGTCCAGATCATCTCATTATACTCCAGGGACCATTCTGGAATTTTATCAAATTTTTAGGGCTAAATGGTAATTTTTGTCAAATTGAAAGACCAAATTGAAAGTGTTAAAATTTCATAACTATACAGGAATTCTGCCCATAATTTATCTTTTATTCTGTTCAGAATCTCGGAATATGCCCCAGGGACCAATCTGTAAATTTTTCAAAGTTTGGGGACTAAACTGTAATTTCCACAAATTGAAGGACCAAAATGAATTTTCGTCATCTTCAACCTCCAACCCAGAATTTCAACAGAAACCCACTGTTCTTTCCTTATTTCTAACATAATTTCACCATTCAAACAAAATCATAACTCAAAATCATCATCTTTCAATTCAATCTCTCAAAATCCACCAAATAATCCATTACCCATAACAATCAACCCATAAAATTCAATTAATTCATCAATCAAACCCAAAACACAAATTTTCAAAACCCTAACATTTATCAAAACCAAAATTAAAACTTAATCAACACATATTTATATATAATCTTACCTTTAAACTTATTTCCTTCAACTCCTTTCTATTTTTCTTCTAATTTCTCTCTTTTCTCTTCTTCTTCTTTCTCCCTTCTTTCTCCTGCTGATTCTCTCTAATTTCAGATCATTTATTTTGTTTTTTTTTTTTACTTTCTATTTATATTTATCAAGTTTTGTTGAATTACTACACTACCCCTCATTCATTTATACCCACACTTTAAGCCACCAAGGGTGTTATTGTATTTTCCTACTTATTTATTCAAAACATTACATCAAGACTTCAAGCAATCCATGGTGAAGAAATTTAAAATGACAGAATTAGGTCTTATGGTCTATTTTCTAGGATTAGAGGTGAAACAATGCAATGATGGAATTTTTATTTCATAAGCCAAGTATGTAATAGAAGTTTTGAAGAAATTTGATATGGAAGATTGTTGTCCAGCAAACAATCTAGTTGAATACGAAACCAAGTTAACTAAAAAAAAAAGAGATTCAGTTAATCCTCCATACTATAAAAGTATTGTGGGTTGTTTGTGTTATTTAACATGTAGCAGACCAGACATTCTGTTTGGAGTTAGCTTGATTAGCAGATATATGGAGAAGCCAAGAAGTTTACATTTAAAGACAACAAAAAGGATCCCTTGTTTTGTTAAAGGAACTTCAAGTTATAGATTGTTATATTCATCTTCACATAATCTTGAAATTACAAGTTACAGTGATAGTGATTGAGCAGAAAGCTTGGAAGAAAGAAAAAACACAACTAAATTTGTATTATTTATGAGAGAAACAATTTTCACATGGACATCAGAGAAATCATCTATTATTACATTATCCACATGTGAAGTATAATATATTGTTGTTGCATTCTGTATATGTCATACAATATGACTAAGGAAACTGATGGAAGATTTGATGCAGAAACAGACCAAGACTACATGATTCTTTGTTGCTAATAAGTCTGCTATAGCATTTGCAAAGAATCCAGTTCATCATAAAGATTCAAAACATATTGATACTTAATTTCACTTCATTAGAGAGCACATAAAAGAAGGTGATGCGGAGTTAGTTCATGTCAAAACTTATGAACAAATTCCAGACATTTTTATAAAGCCATTAAAAACTGATATGTTATATTATTTATAGAAGAAGCTTGGAATCATGAAAATGGACAGAACAGGTTTAAGAGGAAAAAATGTTAATTATTAAACTTGTTTATCAAGATTAAATGTATTGAAGTTAGTTCAATGAATAATCATCCACAATATAAATACTATGAATCTAGAAATACTATAAATCTAGAATAAGTATTGAAGAGTCTAATATTAATTAAGTATTTTGAAAATTATAAAAGATATTTTATAATGTTTATATATATTGTATAGATTTAATAATAAAAGAAGTAAGAATATCATTATTTATTTAGTATATTATATTCCACCAAATTATGTGAGTAATGATTCCTCATTTATTTTTTTCCAACATCCTTTACTTCCATCCCTATTATATGGTGATATAATTCAGCACAAATAAACAGGAATGTATCTAGTATCTGAAGCTGATTCGAAATTTTATTACAAGAAGAAAGTAACATCATTGCAAGGCGAGTAATCACCTTACTGGTGTAGCCCTCCTCACAATCTCTCTCACAATCATTAACTAGAGATTTTCATGAAGTCATTGTAATCAAGAATCAGCAGCCATATCCAAAAAAGAAAAAGAAAAAAGAATTAGATAATAATTAAATTGAAACTTGTTCTGTTTTCTACGTGGGCAGATTAAGAACAACAAGTGTGGTGCCAGGATTAGAAGAATTTAAAATATAGAGGAGGCATGGATATGAAGATTCAATAAAAATTCTTAAACTCATCAGAAAGGGAAGAAAGCTCTAGAATTCAAAACTAAGAATTTTCTCTAAAAAAAAAACAAATAAAGCTTACTTCCTGTATATCATCTTCACATATAGTCCTGAATGGTACAATTCTTGCCCCAACTAAAGCATCTTTGGCAGGCTTTTTCTTTTCTTTTCTTTTCTTTTCTTTTCTTTCTGGAAACTTGATGTTAGGAAAGTTTTTTTCAGTTTATTACTGGTCATCCCGTGCCATGTGTGATGATGCCATTTTTTAAATCATTTTTAAATAATAATTAAATAAATATTATTACAAAATTAACTGTTTTATTATTTATTTTTTTCAAGTTTATAACTTCTTAGTGAATTATTTTTATTGGACCTTCAAAACTTATTTTTTTTATTATAATTAATATTTTTTATATTTAGTTAGTACTCCATAATTATAAAATTATATTAATTTTTATATTAAAATAATTATATTATAAAATTATTTTTGTTATTAATACTGCATTGAACTCTAAGTAAATTATTTAATAGATAAGTTTATATATAAATTTAAATTCATATAAATATGCAACTTTAAAGAAAACCTTATTAATATCCAGTTATGAATTTAGGAATTAGATACATAAGGAATTGTAATTTTCTTTTATTTTATTATTGTTTTCATTGCCCTAAATTTACTCTTACTTTTACTTTTATTTTTTCTTCATGTATATTATTTTATCCTTTTAAATTTACTTCCTCAAGAATAAGATTGTCTCTTGTTAGACTAATTTTTAAGGAACAACTTAGCTAGACGAAGGTCTACATTCAAATAACCACTTCACCACCTCAGGACACGGCCATGGAAAGCCTGTTGAAAACTTTTTTATTAGTGAATTTTGATAAAGGGTCTTGTTGGGAATTTCGACCGGTGATATTCTGATATTTGCTCATAGGAGGGCTAAGCACACCGACACAATATTTACGTGGTTCAGCAAAACCGCCTACATCCACGGGAGAGAGTCTATATTATTAGAGATTAGAGAAAGAATACAAAACAAATACATGGAGGAGAAAGATCACTTCTCTCTACTCTACTCCGAGCTCTCTCTTTCTATCTACTCTCTTCACATTCTCACAAAACTCTTTACATTTTGCTCTCTAACATATGCCTCTATTTATAGACATTCATGGAGGCTCTTCTTGCTTTGTTGTCAATATTGGTGATCACCAACTCTAGCTCATTCAACAATGGTGGCTGCCAATAGTCAATGGTTAGTGTCATCCATTTCTTGCACATGAAATGACAACCAACCTAATAGGTCTAACATTTCTCACAAGAAGGATGTGATTCTTTTAGTTAGAATGTTTTGGGGGAGTGTATAATATTGCAGCTGTTTTTTAATGCAGTGCTTGCTGCTTGCTAGACCCGGTTTCTCAGCTGCTGCTTGGCAATTGAAGAAGGTCCCGAGGGTTCATTTGGTGAAATCTTGAAAAGGATTTTGGGTGTGATTATTTTTGAGTGAGAGCTCTAAGTTTTGCTCTTTTAAGTTCTTCTGCAAGTACTTCAAAAGGATACTAAGAGAATATACAGTTCTAATCTGTTCTCTACAGAACCGGTAGTGTCTAAACTGCCTTCCATATGGCGTCCATTTTCACTCTGCAGTCTAGTTCCTTCAAGCTTGAATTGAACTGATTGGAAGAAAGCATTGATTAGCCTCCGGATAGTGATGTTTGAAGACAAATGGGTCCTCCATTTTTATAATTTTAAACGCAGAAAACTTAGGTGCTTCTGATAAAAGTCCGGAATGGAAATGGAAGAATCAAAATGAGAATGGAGTAATTGAAATAACATTTACAAAGGTTTTAGTACTAACCAAATTATGAGCGTTTGAAAATGCATGAGCATTATAGTAAAATGTAAATTAACAATTTAATTGCTTTTTCTCCCTCCAAAATACTCCAGACACATGTAAAAGGAATGGAAAGTCTTAAGGGTTTTTAATGCAAAATTGCTTTCAAACTGCAGTACATAGCTCTTCAGCCTTTGATGATCAAGGAAAGGAAACATTTGCATGTCTAACATGTGTGAGTTCGATAGCTCTTTCAACAGAGCAAAGAAAGTGTTAAAAATGGCCAGCAGGTTTACCAAAGCTGAAAATTTCATCCATTGCTATTCCACATGAACAAGAAGATTAAAAAGCTTATACCTTGTTAATTATGTGAAAAAGATGGCCGAAAGGAAGGTTTAGTTCTTCTGTTAGTGTTGCTTTCCCCACCTCAGTGATCTAGCTCATCACCTGGTACAAAAATATCTGCATTTCAGCATTACCAAGCGACGCTGATGATAAAAGAATTATTCAAACCCATAAAAGATCAACATTCTAAAGGAAACAGATCAAATTCATGAACCAAACACCGGACCTCGGGAAGCCATTGAGCAGAGAAATGACATCAATCATACCTTGTAAATCATCTCCCACCCTTGATAACACCTTGATTCATATTGATCATGCAATCCCCTTCAAATTTCATGATTTTAGAGCTTGAAGAATTCTTGTAAGAAACTTGCCTTACCTTGCTTTCTAGCATTTGTTGAATACAATGAACACAGCATGACAAATAAATAGCATATAGAGATAAATAAAGAAAATAAATAGCATATATTCATTGGAAGATTGTTTATAGATGCTTAGGAAAGTATACATAACTTTTCAATTAATTTGTGTAAGTCTCCAAGACCCAGAAATGCTAGCTGTAATCAATTTTTAAGGGTCAAATGCTGGGACTTCATTTGAAGGAGAACGTAATGCACGATACACTGTTCTGTCAATAATACTTCTACAAGGATCATCCTCTCGCTTCTTCAACAGATAAGCAAGACAACTTTCGACTTCAGATTTTATATGCAGGTATAGCTGGTTTGCGTTTTCTCTGTCTTCAAGTATCTCCCCCTTTCCCTTTGTTTCTACAGGCTTTCCGAACAGAAAATAAAAACGGCCAGGCACCTTTGGCAAAAGACCTGGCATATAGAACACTTGGTTTGCCACCTCCCCTTGATTCTCGTCTCTGTGAACACACCATATAATTTGTCACACAAATGTATAAAAAGGGAGCTATCATCTTATGTTGACATGTCTTTTACAACTATATATGTAGCTAGCAAGTGCAAATATCATTGCTTGAATAGTAATCACCTTATTTTTATAGATTTACGAGTA